AACTTAAGCTTTATGATGCTTTAGTGGTATTTATTTTACTGTATAATTACAGCAGTTGGTAAGCGCCAAAGCATGACAAATTAAATGTTTGTCATAGAAAACACGTAAGGAGTATATTGAATATTAAGTGGCCGAGAATTATTAAGAATGAAAGCCTGTCATTCTGTAATGCAGTTGTTTTTAGTAACAACCTTTTTTCTTCAATTATAAATTAGAAAAGTTCTAGAAATTAAGAGATATTGCAAAAGCTAGAAATAAGTTTGATGTGCGTTAGTTGTATACACACAGGACTTAAACAGAAACTTTACAGTAAATTGTATTCAGTTGGACTATAGTTTTTGAATAAAAATAAATAAATATATATATATGTATATATATAAATAAATATATATATATGTATATATATATATATACATTTAAAGATTGATCACATATAGCATGGTTTTTTTTTCCTTTAACAATTAAATCCCCAAAAAATAAATTCCTTCATATTGATATTTAAATGCACGAGGATCCCATATGTTTTAAGGCCTGTGGCATTATGGGTTATACTGGTATTTACAATGTGAACAGCAGTATTCAGTATTTTGTGTACTTTATTTTCATTTGTAGAAAGAAATTTTTTTTTACACACACACACACACACACACACACACACACACATATATATATATATATATATATATATAATTGCAAGGGTCCGCTCATAAATAAATAAATAAATAAATAAGAGAAATTATAAGGTAAAAATATAACAAAATCAGGTAATGAACTATCTCCCCGCCGGACACCATCCCGGTATTTCTGAATCAAGGTTTCAGAGGGCTTGACAATCGAGGTTGTGACTGTAATGATTTTAAACTATTATACAAGGTAAAAACTATCCCCCGCCGGACACCATCCCGGTATTTCTGAGTCGCGGTTTCGGGGCCATTATGAATTGAATATTATAATATTATAACTTTACTGTAAAATACTATGTGGTAAGAAACTACCCCGCCGGACACCAATCCGGTATTTCAAGGTTTCGGGGTACAGTAAAAAGGCTAGCGTGTACATGCACCGTCGACGGCTCTCATCGCGGATGGATAAAAGGATGAAATTCATCTAGTGGTTGTGGCGGTTATAGATCTTAACTGTTGGCTTCGTGACATTAAGCTCAAATTACCCTTTTCCAGGATGATATGGGTCCTTTATATTGCGCCTTTTTGATTAGCCTTTCGGTGTACATGTTTTCAAGAGACCGCTGGGGCTAATACTAATACTCTAATACTTTTTTTTTTATTTTTCTTTTCGTCTTGAACAGCCATTCCATAAAATAAATGATTGAGTCAAGACGCTTTCAACTATTGATCTGTAAAATGTATGTCTACACATGATTTCTGATCCAATTGCAAATTGTCTTAACTTCCTAAGAAAGAAAAGGCAAAAGACGTTGGTGGCCCATTTAAACACACTTATCTACTTGATCCTTCCAGGTCATCCGAAAAGTGAAAATCTAAAAACTCACATGATTTAACTCAAAATCATTATAACTCCATGATTTAACAGTATCTACGTCATGACCTGTAATGGTATTTTTTCATTCTGATTACGTCTGAATCTGCATTTCATTTTCTAACAACAGTTATATTCATATTACAAGTAAACAATTCTCACAAACGTCCTTACTTCTGCTCGTCTTTACTGATACTAGCCTACTGTTGGTTGTAAGACAATTTTATTCGCTTAAAAATACACTGACGCATCTCCTTAAATCGCCAGCCATACACCAACGGATTAATCATAGCGTAAGATGCCGCAAAATTTAATCCGATAGCATAAGCATCAGTGTAAATTTTTTTCTTACAACTTAAATCAAAGAAATTGTCCATGATGATAATAATATCAAGTGGTAGCCAGCAAATGGCAAATGAGCCGATAATAATTGAAAACGTCTTGAGAAGCCTCTTTGATACCAGAACTGCACTTGATGAAGCTAAAATTCTTTCATGTCTAGCAACGCTCTTATATATTATTAGGTATAAAACATGAAGAGCAAGAATGATCGACATGTTAAATATAGTAAGAATAATAGTTAGTTCATTATCATATTCAAAGTATAGTATAGACGTCCCTAAGAATGAAAAAGAACAAATCCAAATGACCGACACCACACCGAAGAGTTTCTTGGCTGAATTCACATTTTTGTTAAATGGACACAAAACTATTACGAATAGTCTTTCGATTGCTATTGCAACAAAGGTCAGAAGTGAGATGACCATGGCCGATAGAGAGATCATGCTGATCAGCTCCCGAGTGGTGGCTCTAAAATTGTTACCACCGATTGCGATTAGAGTTGATACGGCAAACAATCCATCGGAGAAAGCCAACGATCCAGTGAAAATATGATGACGTTTTTGTAATTTTTTTTCTAACATGAATTGGAGAATGACAGTGAAATTCAGCAGTATTGCCAATGAGCAACAAACATAATAAATAATTATATTGTAGTCATATTCATCTTTTGTTTCAAGTTGATAGTAATATAGTTCAATCACTGAATGATTACAAATGTAGTATTCTGTTCCGTAAGTATCCATCCTTAGTTTTGATAGTTCCTGTTCAGTCTTGTTTTCTAGCTTAAATAGGTCCTGCTTTACAATTATTTTGAGCCAATGATTATTTAGTCTTAGTCTATCTCCAATCCGTGTTATCCTTGCGAAAATTGCTCTGTTCTACTACGTTCCAACTGTACTTAGGTACAAATTTACTATATTTTGTTGAGATTCTTGTTGAGATTGTTTGAATCATCTCACGTTTGCCAGAGCTATAGTTAAAAAATTTTCATTAATAATATTTTCATCATGCTTACTGCATCGACGTGCGATAATGGAATCGACCGGAATATAATTAAATTTATTTTTCGAGATTATGTATAACGTGTTGAACGGTATATGCAAAATATGTAATATAAATGAAGAAGAAACACTAGTATGATTATGCACTTTTATGCACTTGCCCTGCTCTAGATACTGATAGAAAAAATGAATTCGATAAATTTAAACTTTCTGATAGCAATCACTTGAATGTCTACCATCAATTTCAACAACTAAGATATCAAACCTTAAAAAAATAATAATTTTGTGAAAAATGTAAATAAATGGGGCAGTTTAAAATAAAATGAAAGCTCATCTTCGACTTCTCCAATTTTACATAGGGTACACAATCTATTTTCAACTTCTGTTTTCGGGTTTGGTTATCGCCCTTTTTCAATTTCGAACGAATTACCACACAGTGTAAATTATTACATGTTTATGTTTTAAAGCGAGGCTCGATCATGAAGAATTTGTTTATATGTTGTACAACTAGTTT